AAAAAAAAAAAAAAAAAAAAAAAAAAAAAAAAAAAAAAAAAAAAAAAAAAAAAAAAAAAAAAAAAAAAAAAAAAAAAAAAAAAAAAAAAAAAAAAAAAAAAAAAAAAAAAAAAAAAGGAAGAAAACAAAACAAAAAAAAAAGTCTCCTAACATTTTCCCAAAGGTTTCACTCTCCTTGTTCACACACACTCTCCAAATGACAGCTAGCAAATTCAACTCTGCAAAGAGAAAACAGAGCCACGTCACTCAAGAGGAGAGGGAACAAGGCTGGCAGTGATGGGGATGGAGCTCTGTGAGCCTGCAGAGGCCCCACTCACCTATGTCAACTTCTTGGCTTTGTTGTAGAGCGAATCCACTACTTTGCTCATGTTCTGAATCGTCTCGAGGGCGGCCTCGTAAGTTTTGTCTACGGGGGGTTCGTCGAAGATGATCAGGACACCCTCGCCCTGGTCGAGGATTCCTGTGGGAACAAGCTGCCTTTAGCACTGGGATGCTCCATGGGACACGTCTTCCAGCAGTAGGAATTCAGGGATCTACCCCAGAAACATCCAGGGGCTGGGAAGGGCTCGTGTGTTGCGCTGGACTGGCTGGTTTTGGTCAGGACAGCATCAGCATTCCCAGGAAAAAAGTACATCTCATTCCCTACAAGCTCCCTGCCTCCTCGAGGCCCTGTGCCCAGCTGGATGGACCAGCACAGCACTGGAGCAAGGCTGAGAAAGAGCTGGTTTATAACGGGACTGTTCCCAGGTGCCAGGTGGGCTCTGTCCTTCTGGAACGTTCTGTGCTCAGGGTGCTGCCTCCAGCCATTCCCCTCCCTCAGCCAGATCCAGGGGCCTTGCTGATTGACACAGGGACAACACAACCAGAGCAGAGCTGCTTCCCTGAGGGATCACCAGGGCAGCACCTCTGCTGTGGGCCCAGCCAGCCCAGACCACCTCCTGTGCCATGGGAGTGCCCCTTCCAACAGAACCCGCTGGATACAAACCAGCTGGGAAAGGTGCCCACATCCCAACCAGCTCCACGGGGGAAGAGCCCACCTGGGAGGTCCCACACCCTCCTTGGACGCTCTCACAGCTCAGAAGAACCCAGCAGTGTTCCTGATCTGTGAAAAACCAATCCTTGGGCTTAAAGAAGATGGATGGAGCAGCAGGAAGAGCCTCCCTGGCTGTCACCTGAGCTGAGCAGGTGGGCTGAGCATCCCCACGGTTCAGAGGAGTCTCCAAGCACAGCTCTGTACACACAGCCACCAAGGCACTCAGGACTGAGGGATGCAGAGACTCACCATGAAACTTCTTGTCCAGGATCATCTGTGACAGTTTCCTTTCTACCTCAGCCTGAAATTGAAGCAGAGAAATCAAAAGTCTCCCAAAAGTGCTTAAAAAAGTGTGAATTTTACTGCTCCACACTCAGCCCTGGTGGGACATGAGCACTCCTCAACAGCAGCTGTTTCCTCACTGAACATCAGGACAGGCTTTAGATGCCTCAAGAAGTTACAGAGCAGCTTTTAGTGAGGAGAAAATCCAGGACTGTCCTGCCTCCTTGTTCCACAGATGATGCTGAACCTGTCACTTCAGACTGGTTTGATTCCTGGGGGGATCTGGAACATTCTAGCTCAGTTCAGCAAGTATTAGGTCAAGAGTTGGCCAAGCTTTGTTGAATCCACCCAGCACCAGGCAGGCCCACAGGAGGCAGCTCCTCTCCAGCTCCTCGGGCAGAGGGGACACAGCTGCCGTTGAACAACCGCAGAGCAGCTTTTACTCCAAATATTAAGGATGTGTTAAACACCAAGGGCTAGTCTAGGAAAAAAAAAAAAAAACTTGTGTGCCAGGGGAGGTTTGGGCTGGATATTAAGAAAAATTCCTTCCTGGAAAGGGTTGTCCAGCCCTGGGCAGTGGGGGAGTCCCCATCCCTGGAGGGGTTTAAAAGCCACATGGATGGGTCAGGGGTGGCCTTGGCAGTGCTGGGGGAACACTTGGACTCGATGATCTCAGAGGCCTTTCCCAACCTCAGTGATTCCTGTGACTCTGTGACCACAAAGCTGAGCTCAGCTCACGTCCAAAGCTCTGCCCTTCCTGCCAGGACACGACAGCAGCACTCTGGGATGCCACTTCCTGGGATTACAGTGGATTTTCCTAAAACTTAATCTGGCTGGGATGATCTGCAAAGCAGTTACTGCAACAGTCAGTGTGACAGTCACAGCCCTGATGACACTGCAGGGTGATTAGCTGGATGCTGGATCTTAAAGGTCTAAGAAAGGTTCCCCTGGGCACGCCATGGGATTAAACCCAGGGCAGCAGGGAAGACTGAGCCAGTCAGGACAGGAGCAGAGGAAAATCTGTCTCCAACAGAAAGCAAGTGCCAACAGAGGGAGCAAAACCCATGTGAGGTAAAGGGATGTTACAGCAAAGTCTGGGGACAGGAAGACTTGATGCCTCCCAGGAACTGCCCACGGCAAAGTTGAATTCCCAAGGTGGTGTTTGCCTGGGAATGTTGTGGAGCTCACCTGTCACACTTCACGTTTAGCTCCCAGTGGCAAATGCCATTTAACCCCAACTCCTCTGCCCTTCTGAGATGTGCCACTGATTTCTAGGGAGGTTCTTACCTTTGAGAGTTTGATGAGGCTGGATATGTGTTCAATCTATAAGAGAGACCAACAGAGTCAGGTAAATCTTTAGCTGCACTTTGGACACAGAACATGGAGGTTTGGGGCTCTCTGGAACAGCTCAAGGGCCTGGAAATGCTCTGGGTTAAAAAGATGCAGGACATCCTCCCTGCAGCTTCAGGTCCTTGGTGTCTAATTTTAACTGAAGGTGGACTGGACACCTAAAGCCATTTCACTCTGAAACACGAAATATTTCGTCTCCAAGACCAGGGCAGCTTTGCCCACACCCTGTCAGAGCTCATCAAAGAAAAACACTGTTACCTTCAGGGTCTAAAGCCAGTCACCTTTCAGTGAGTATAAGAAAAACAGGTGGAAAGGCCAATGTCTCTGGAAAGTGGTTTTCCAAAGGTCTCAGCCCTCTCTTGATGATTTTTTTCAGCTGAGCACGATGAACCCTGAGCTCTGGATTGCTAAGCAGATCTGAGTGAGGAGTATTCCGTGAGGGAACAAGCCCCTCACCCACCAGCAGCAGGGGACAAGAGGCTGGATGTGCTGCTGCAAACATTTACCTGTACTCTGGAGAAGGGTTCAATGACTCTGATCAGGTTCTGTTCCAATAAATTATCATAGAGCTTGGCCAAGTGAGTGTTTATGATGGGGTCGTCCCTGAGCTCCACCTTATAGTCTGTCAGGGCCTGTGGAAGAAACAGCTCAGGTAGAACAGGTTCTCTTAGGATGAAATCCCCTCCCCTCCCTGCCCAGCACAGTTATCATGGCTATTCCAATCCCAAACTTAGCTAAAAGCCAGAAGGTCATGACAGCCCAGCCAGCCTTTCAAGCATCTTTCATTCTCCCAATAAGCCCAAATCTCTGCTTCACCCACAGCAGGACTGGCTCCTGACATGGGAATCCTCTGTGGCATTCTTGCTGGGGCCAGGAAAAATTTTAGGAACATACAAAACTGCTTCTGAGTTGGCTCTCCAGATATAAAAAGGAAAAAAAAAAAAAAAAACAGGTTCAAACAAGTTTACCCCCCACGCTGAGAACACCAAACCGGTTGATTATTGAGGGGTATTTGCTCGGTGCACTGTTGTTTTCTATCAATGTTTCCATGGTTTCCTGCTGGGGGATGTAGCAGCTCCTACAGCTTTCCAAACCTGGTATATCTGAGTGGTTTTTGCCCAGCCAGGCCTCACTTGTTGTCTCACCTTTTCAAAATCTGCCAGCGACCGGTTCTTGCTGGCCTGGGCCACACATTTTAGTGCTTCTGTCTGTGGGGAAAGAAAACCAAAAGAGGGGTTTTTGTTTATTGTTTTTTTGTTTTTTTTTTTTTCTGGAATCTCCTCTCCCTGAGATTATGCAAACTGTGCAGTATCCTGGGAACGTGCTCAAGCAGCAAACCAGGAATGTTCCTGGTGCTACAGAGCCCTGTGAGTGTCACTGCCACAAGGCAGAGCAGCTGCTGAGGGGGGAACGTGTCCAGCAGCTGCAGGACACGGGGTGGAACCAGCCCCACAAAGCAGCCCAAGTTCTGCAGGTCTGACATCAGCAGCTGCAGGCTGGGAGCAAGTTTGACACTGTTTCTTTAAGAAAAGTGCCCTGTTAAGCACTTGCTAAATGAAGGTGGCCATTTCCAGCCCTCAGGCTGAGCTTCTCCCCTTCAGCAGGGCCACAACTCCTCTGCTGAGTGACAGGGGCCCTGCAGCAGCCCCAGGGGTGCCCCACCAGGGACAGCATCTTCCTGCCCACCCATTAATTGCTGAAGCAAAGCAAGAGCCTCAGCCCCAATCTGATTTCCCCCAAAGCAGAGCAGTGCCCAGGACGTGGCTCTGGTGCACAAGGCCCAGGCTTCTGCTGCTCCCTTTCTTTTTGGGGATTATCCTGTGCAGAGCCAGGAGCTGGACTTGATGATCCTTGTGAGTCCTTTCCAACTCAGGATATCCCCCAATTCCCACTGAACCGTCCCCAGGGCTCCCCACGCTGTTTAATTTAGGAGCAGCACTCCCAGCCTGGTACGTTCACAAGTCAGAATGAACAGGATTTAACAACTCCCTTCCCCCTCACAGCCCCCCAGGACTCAACCTGCTGGGCTGGGACACGAGGCCCTTCATGCCATGGGGCAGTTTGTAGTTCAGGAAGGGAGGAGAAAAACAGGGGAAAATGAAGTGAACCACGTCCCAGATTCTCAGGTTGTGAAAATCACTGGAAATCCCTTGAAGACAACTGCTAATGATTCTTGGTAATTTCATCAGTTCTGGATTTCACTCAGGAGTGGTCTTTTGGTACGAAAGGACCAAAGTGTTTGACAAAAAGAATAACCCAGCATTCTGAGAGATAAGAGGGAGATAGGAAGGATTAAGTTTCTATACCTGTCTTCCTGCATACCGCAGAGCAAGCTTCCCACTCACTAATGCTTGCACATCTTCTGGGCTACAGAGGGGAGGGAAGGCAACAGAGCATTTATTCAGCAACACAGTCAGCTTAAACCTCAGAGCACCTCACAAAGTCCCAGCTGATAGCAAATCACTACAATTCAAATAACACTGTCTGAGAAGCACTGATTAGGTGATAAAGCAGACACTGCTCGAGTTCCCTCATTAGCTCAGAGCCTTTAGAAACAAAAAGCCTTTCCCCCTGGAAGTGCAGGGATGTTCTTTCCCAGGCACCCTTTGCCACGTACCTGTTCAGCATGATTTTGCACAGCAACATGTACTTCAGAGCAGTGATGGCTTTTGGGTTGTCAATTGAATCATTTCCCTCAAATGCCTCGTAGAAATATGAATAGGCTGTTTTCCAGTCCTTCTCTTCTGCTGCATGGATAATACCTGTGGGAGGGACAAGCCAGAGGACATCACTGGAAGAGGACAGAGCAATCTGGTTGCTCAGTGAAGGGAATCCTGTGCCCCCTTTCCCTCATCTCTATCAGAACAACATCCCTGCCCTCTCTCCTATGAGGACATTTTAAGAAAGACAAGTTTGGGGCACTTCAGGTAAATTGGGTCAGGAATGTGTAATGGGTCAGGAACACAGCGTAATGCTGCAGTGTCTGGGGAGGGGACAGACCATCCACCACTTGAGGGGGGGGTTATCAAAAATGGGCTGGAAATACAAGTGTCAGGAGCAATGTCATTATAACTGGGGAGATGGGGGGGCATCTTGGGGTCCCACCGAGCATCATTTTCCATTATTCCCTCCAGGATGAGTCACTGATGCGTCAGGAGGAGTCCTGGATGTCCCCTTTGTCCTGGAGGCCTCACCTGACTGCATGTCCAGCGCTGCCTGCAGCTTGGGGGGACAGTAGATGGCGTTGGCCGTGGTCCGTGCCGAGGTTAAGGCTGCTCTTG